TCAGCAGGATCCTGCTCGCCACTCACCTGTCTGCAAGTCTACTGCAGTAAGAGACACCGGCTTCCCCACGACCAGGCAACCTGGGGCCTGAGCCCCACCAAGCTGCTTGATGCCACACTCCATCCACTCAACTTCCTCAGCAGCAGGCCTTTCCCAGAGTACGCTGCCATTCGTGCCAGACACAGCAGCGATGAAGGCACATGGAGAAGGCAGACCTGAAGAGAACACATGTCAAAGGGAGCACTACCTATGTCTACCTTTGGTGCCCTGCACCGTCTCAGCGCTGTGACTTGTCCTCTTCCTCTCCCCACACAGCTAACCTGGTTTTCTCTTCCATTCCCACCATCTTTCCCCTCACTCCCATTTCTCTTCTGGCAGAAGCACACAGTGCCCCTAACTTCAGAGTACAAAGGAGAATCAAAATGATGTGCACTAATCACACGCTAGCACCTAAGTTAGGACATTTGCCACAGCAGTCTCACTCTAAAAGAGAAAGAAGAGCCCTCACGACATGGCCTTTTGTTTCTGAATCGGTTACCTTCATCCAGACAGGATCTGTTGAAGCTGCTGCTGCCATTGCTAGCTTTGAAAACGAAGATGACATCTTGCACTTTGTCCTTGTTCACATCTTCTATAGCCAGAAAGCGGTAGGCCACTGTAAAGGAGATCACAAGCTAGACACTCGTAAGGACTGCCCGAATCAACAACGGGGCTAACTGGAGCAAAACACAAATTCCTAAAGACCTACTCACGGCCTCCCTCCACAACAGCGCAACAACAGGACAAACTCGCTTTCGTATAAAAAACTACATCTACATGAGTACTAAGGAGTAGAAGTTAATGCCCAAGGCTTGCTTTCATTTGCCATTCCCCAGAGGATTTGTCTTCCCATGCAGCCAAGCATCCAGAATTTGAAAAATGTCAAACAAAGAACTCTGGTCTTGGTGCGGGGTTGCTATTCCCAAAATATAAACAAACCATAGAACACTGAGCTCCAGATAAACCATCTTTCTCACTCTCAGCTAAAACCAATTTCCTTGAGCTCAAAGTTGCAGGACTTCAGATTTAGGCATTAAAGCCCAGAGCTGAGTCCCTGTTGCTGAACACTATGTCTTCATTTGTAGCAGACGTATTTAGCACAACCAGCGTACAACCATTGCACATAAGACGAAAGAAAAGCATTCACAAAAGTGAAAGTGGCGCCACCAAGGATCAGTACCCCGATTAAAGAATCGATTAAAGCACCTGCAAATTTCTGCAATTCATAAAAAAACAAGATCCTCTTCAGCCTTCCCTTTTAGCCACAGATAAGACAGAAAGTCATACTGACAGAGGAAGAATGCCTAACTGTTCCCACACCTCAGCTCAAACTTCAAGGGAATATGTTACAGACCACACTTCAATGAAGATTTACTTTCAGATAACCTTCCTCACTTTTTTCAAATGAGGCCAGTCTGCTACCTTGTTAGCGCTTCAAGAGCAGCATCTAATTTCTCTGTCGGATCCTGCAAACACCTCCTGGAAGGCCATTTCAATTACGATGGGCCATTGCACATCCAGGTCAAGCATCCACAGTTCTGGCTCCCAAGGGCAGCATCCCTGCAGGCCTGACTCCAGGGCACTTTTAGGTAGAGTTCCACAATCAAAATTCCTAACCCAAAGGAAAAGGACTCTTGGTAAGTATTTCTTCTGTTACAGCAAGCTCACCTGCATTGTCATAGTTTCGGAACCACGTTCTTTCAGAAACAGGCCTCTCTGGGCAAGGAATGATAAATGAGAAAGCAAACACAACTGTCAGACACAGAAATAACGAGATGAAGAAGGCAGCAGTGCGCCACCGGGACAGCCGAGACAATCGTGATGACTGCTTGTTGCCAACTCTTCTCTCAACAGAGTTTTCATGGTTCTCTTGAACTTTTACGTCCTCATTCTTCAGAGGGTGGATCTCAGTTTCCGAGTCTTTGTTATCCATCACAGCTCATTCATCAGTATTCAGGCACCCTTTTCCCCCTTCACCTACAACAACGGAAAGAGCGGTTAAATAAGTTTTCGGAATATATCAAAAAACGACAAAATATTCTGTTAATACCTGATACTGAAGCTGGAAACGTTTAACAGTAGGTAAGCCCATCAGAGCATTGTCATATAGCTGCACACAAAGTGACTTTGGTCCTGGAGGTCTCCCACATGGAGCAACGGGGAAAGACTGTGGGATGCAGAAATACCACTACTCCTTCGGAGGAGGAGGAGATCGGCACTGCTAAAGCTGGAGCAAGGACAAAGGCGGCTACAGATTCTCAAGATCTCTGTGCTGAAGGGACTGATGTGGTCTGTAGGTCTCTCTCATGAAAGAGACACCAAAAGCTCATTTCAGTGAAAAGACTCTTTGCCACTTCCAGTGCATTTCAGTCTGATTCCTGGCTGGATAGTTGAAAGGAAACACTCTAACTTTCATATCCAAACACAAAGCCATTCCCTAACGTAATGAACGTGGGAGCTCCCCCAGCGGGGAGAGAGAAAGAAACACCAAAGTATTCTGTTAGGAACTAAACAAAGGTACTCAACACCCTCTCAGATGACAAACCACTAGATACTGTTTTGCAACCCAGTCCCAAAGAAGACAAGAGCATGATTACTTACCTCCAGGAAGCAAAAAGAGGGCATGAGTTGAGACTACAATTGGCTAAATTTGATTTCATCAGAATGGAAGAAGAGCTAATAACCGCTATTTTAGTTTCTCCTGCTAGAAACCATTATCTATAATTACTGGAACTGCACTTGGGGAGGACAGTTCCCCCTTCCTCCAAACAATGAAGTCATTTGTCTTCAGTTTTTCTGATTATCATCTTTCTGACCGGATAGGCCAGGCTCCTCTCTTCCACTCCGGAGGGCTGCAGCAAGCACAGCAAAGCGCTGAGGCTGCAGCAAGGAGGCCCTTATCCAAGAACTTCCTATTGCAGAATTCACAGCCCCAAGACCTTCATCAGTCAGCCCAAATCCAAAAAAAAAAGAAAAAGGAAAAAAGGAAAAACCCTTCTCCTGGCACACAGATAGGTGATTTCAAAGCATCAAACTGACAAGCTGTCAGAGTACTTTGAGCTACAGCTACAATAACAGGGGTTTTTCTTGTTAATTTGTTTAGGGGTGGGGGGGGAGGGAAGCCAGTCAGTGACAGAAGTCTACAACTGAACATCCACAATAATAATAAAAATCAAGTTTATATTTAGTTTTCAGGCCTCTAACAGTGTTCCTTAAAAAAAGAAAAAAAAAGAGGAAGGGAAGAAATACGGAATAACACATTCCAGTAGCCATGGGAAAAGCTGCATGATAGTGTGTCATAAAAAGTTATATCAGAGCAAATAAACACGATGACCAAGCCAATTTTCCATGACTGTGCCCTAACAGTCACGTGCCTAGATTATCCGCCTGAACGATATGCCTCCCCTGTAGAAAGCAGCTTTCAACTCAGCACCAATCCACAATACAGAGAGGTTGTGCTTTCAAGTCCAGCAACAACGGGACTCATTACATCTCGTGTTTTATGCACAAACTCATTTATAGGTTCAAAGAAACAAGAGATAAGAGTTATCCTTGAGAAGCCAGTTTCCTCCAAGCAGATGCCATAGAGCCTAACGTGTGACCTCCCTGGTCTTCAGGGATTCAGCGAGTGTATTGCTGTGCGCGGTGCCTGACCCTACTACACAAGAGTCCCAAAATCAGGCAGCAAAGAGCAACTCCTAGAAAGCTCCTTACCTGGGGCTGGCTCACACGTGAGCTCCATTTTGCGCTGGCCAGCCAAGTTCAGTGATAGAAATGGAGAGTCCAGCAAGACTTGGTATAGACATGCAATGAAAGAGCAATCGCTTGCATGTTGAGAGCGTTCCACTCCATCGCAGGGAAGCGCTACAGAGGCCCCTTCTGAGTACAAACCACAAGGGCAAGAAAACTACAGCAATGCAGAAGGTTGAGTGACTTGAACAGTCTGGTACACTGTCAATCACCTAGCTAACTACATCATTTATTGGACCTGTAAGACTGTATTTATGAAGCACTTACTCCAGACTAAGAACACGGGCATTTCTTCTACGACAGTACATCGAGTACAGGATCTCGCTCCAGCCAATTTAATTCAACCTGCGCAACACCATGCAAGCCACGCAAGTTCAATTAAATTAATAATGTAGGAGCCATATCTTCTTCCAGAGATCTTCCCTCTAAAGACCTCATCTGCCCTTCATATCAGTCTGCCAGCAACATGAGAGACAACTCCACGAGGCTGGCTGTTTCAAAACCAACTGCAGCGCTTGACAGAAACTTGACAAGAAAAGTCAGTGGTAGACTCCAAATGGGAAAGATGAGGGGAAAAGAGTCGTGCATCCAGCCTTCCCACCCAGACCTGGCCCCTGTGCTCATGTGCTGTTTCGTTACTATAGCGAGGAGCCAGTAGAGCAGCTCTAAGTAGGACAGCCATCGGGAAGAGCCCCAAGTCCTCGAGCATGTTCAAGTCCTCAATCAGAGGATGAGTAAATAATTTACTGGATTGAGCAACGACAGCCTTCACCATCGCAGTAAGAGAGGAGGAAAGGAGGAATCGGTTACGGGAGCTTACTCCCAGGACTTTTCTTGTGATGAGCCAGACAGCTTGTGTGGCTCTGACATACTTGTCTTCACCAGCAGGGAGACACGGCCCATACTGAACACTGTGGTAACTACCAGTCTGCAGCACAGGCCGCAACAGGACAACCCCAACTAGGTTCTCCAGATAGTCACGCTGGAGCATAGAGCTGGGGAATTTTTATGACAGAGTTGAGTGCTTCCAGCGTCTACGATTCTTCCCGAAAACAGAGCAGCAAACAGGATTCTCCTCTCCTCGGTTCAAAACTGACACCATGTGAATACTGCACTGAAGGCCTATTTTTACGACTCATTAGAAATCACGCCACCGTCATTTGGGATGGGATGAGAACAAGAAAAAACAGTGGTAATTACACTGACAACCCCAGCAATTCCCCTCCTTTTGCAGTAATGACCCTAGGAGTCATTGCTTACAAAGAGCCCTCAATGCCTTTAAAGCAATTCCTTTCTGTTTTCTCTCAGCATTTGAATAATGCCCTTTGCACTCCTGCCAGAGCATATGGAGTGCCAGAACAATGATCAGAGAGGGCAGTGGCAAAGATTCAAACGTTGCAGGAAATCCCATTGCCCACAGTTGCCAAAGTACATGCTAGCAGCATGCGAAAGAGTCTGATCTTTGAACAGCAAAGTAGTCTGGTAATCAGTTTAATTAAGACAAGCAGAAAATGAGAGTGCGCATTTTCAGATGATGTTGCCCTCCTCCAGCGGCAGACATTTTGTCTCCCTTTCGCAGGAGACGCAAAATAATCCACTAGAAAGCTTAAAGCATCCAAGCACCTTGCAGTGATGCTTGCATCAAGCAGCAGCAGTGTGTAACGGTGTGTAACAGTGTGTTACTGCATTATTAAAGATGCTGCGTACGCTTGAAATTGGGGCTAGCACCAGCTCTCCGCTCAGCAACAGCAGGCCTCACCAGGAGAAGCCGCAGGAGAGAAACTTCATGAAAAAGCAAATAAAAAAAACCCCGCACCTAACGTACCCAAACCGGCACTGAACCCACACAGCCCAGAGAGCATTCCAGCATGGCAGGGGTTCGCGTCTCATAAAATTTCACGCGCTGGTATACGCTTCCATCCACAACGCAAACGAGTCAGTCTCCAAGCGCTAAAGGCTATTCGTCCCCACCAGTATTAAAGCTAGGAGCAGCCGCTGTTCAGAGTAAAGGAGAAACTAATACTTTCCTTGTCCCACAGTACCAACGATGCTTTCAGGACACTCACCTTCACGGGGCACTCACTTTCCTCTTCTCCCACCGCTACAGTGGAGATTTACCGATTTCCTCGGCTCAACCTATCGAACCAGTGAAACTTCTGCAGCAAGCGGTTGACGCCAAACTGCAGCTAAATCTAAAAGACAAGCTATCGTTGTCGATCAGCTGGAACTGCTCGAAAGTAAAGAGAACAGCAGAAAATCACCTGTATGAGAACCAGCGAACCGAAACCATTTAAATATCACTGTGATGGAAGGTTGAGCTCATTTTCCATCCGTAAGATACCGAACCACAACTTTTCTAATTACAGTAATCTCACAAGATGCCAGTTCTTCCGGGAAAATTTATAGCAACGTATCATATTAGATTTGCTGTTCAACCTGCTTATATCTTTCACGGAACAATTAAGTCAGACTATGATTGGCCATTTTAGAAAGCAAATGCAGTGTTTGGTTTTTGTTGTTGTTGCTGCTTTTGCAGACACCTTACAGCTGAAAAGGTTTCCTTTTTGTCAGGCAGAAATTTTTGAAGCCATAATCATAGTTTGCAATCAATAATGGCAAAACAGCTTCCAAATTCTGCTCCGTATAAGACACAGCGTTCCCTTCGTGGCCGCCTTCCCACAGGGGAGGCTGCCCAATTTTGATCCAACGCACCATGCGGCACTGCAGTGAACTAACCGGGGAACTAACCTGCTGCAACATCAACGGGTCAAATTCTTCCTGCAGTCCCACTTACAAAAGTGTCAGGCCAACAGGAAATAGGCATAAAATTTCCCCAGACTCAGGAGATTTTCCTCTCCAGATACACTCAAGAGATCACTCCATACCCAAGCTTGTAGTTTTGCTGGGTCACTTGAAGCTCATAACTCTTTCCTGATAACAAGCCACAAGTCCGCAAGGAGAACTGCCCCGAGGAGACCGTTCCCTCCCGCCTGCGGGGTACCTCACGCTCCTCCTCGCGTCCTTACAGCTTGTTCCTAACAACCCGGTTTGTAAGGCAGAGCACACCACCCAGGCCCACAGCTGAGGGCTCAGAGAAAGAGCTGTATCCTGCCGCTACAGTTGCCTTTTTTTCTCCTCCCCTCGCTCTTGCTATTTTGTCTCTGTTGTAAAACCTCTCTTGAAAACATCACCTGCTTCTTAAACCACGCATAACCTTCCAGCGCCGACAACACATGCCAGAGAGCCTTCACAGCAAGCGAATTCAAATCTTCTCCAGGGCACAAGCAAATGGCATCTCAGAAAAGGATTTATCCGTCATTTTTAAGAGGGCAGTTTTCACTACAGTCAGGTGTTCAAGTAGAGAAATTCGATCTGTTTAGTCAAGAGGAAAACACGTTCTACTACTTTTTCTGAGAGAGCAATGGGAAGAGCAAACTCCTCTAAGGTGGAGAACTGCGTTAAAGCAGTAAAGCTACAGAGCACTGATTATAGGTTAGGCCTGAAATACCAAGCAAACAACAAAACCACGTATCATGTATCATTCCAGAACTTTTAAATTGCACACGATCAAAGTCACTCACCGTTAGCGCTTTCTGCAGGTCCCCTGTGTTAACCTTAAAAAGTACTAGTTTGCAACGTATTTGTATGTATAATAGCAACTGTCAGACAGACACGTATCCCTACTTCATTCACAGGGCTTCCCCGCTTGCGTCAAAAGCACAGAGACTTCTCCACGCTTCCAGAGATTTAGCACATCAGCGACTGCGGGGAGATCTGCAGCCGTGAAAACTCTTTACAATAAGCTGCAGTCGTTTCATATAGGTCTATAAAAAAGTTTTAAAAGTGCATTTTTCATAAGGTGAGAACCATATCACCATTTACTGCGCCAGTCACAGACTCAGTGCTGCCCACTGGGTCCTTCCTGCCACAGGGAGGTTTACAGTCGCGTGAAACAACGGGCGCGTTCCCCCTGCTGTTGTCTCCACCAGCCACCCCGACATCTCCCTTTTCTCCCCCGTGGCGATTCAAGAGACTGCATTTTCTGTTTTCGTTTCCCCCCCTGATACTTCTACGCTGGAGAAAGA